TTATTTTAAGTTGATACCTTTATCTAAACTCAACTTCCCCTCACAATCTCTCGCCAGGAAGTAAATTTAAAATTAAGAGAAGTGCACATTTAAACGGGAGAATCTCTGAGTTTATTCAGAGCGTGTTTCGCTAGCCAAGCGTACGTTTCGTTGTTACGCTAGTAAACCTCTTGGCCATATCGGATTTATCATCACGCCGGTTGGGTTTTTGTGAGTGCATCTATTAGGCGTAACTTAGGTGCTATCTAGCACTATTTATTTTAGGTTTGACTTAAATTATATCGTACGTTTTAGTTTTCACTGCAAGTTGTAACTCACGAAGACTGTGCCTTCTGTTTCTGTTTTGAATTAATAAAGGGTTATTTTCACCCATCTTCTGAGTCGGTAGTTTTCTTCACGCCTGTGCGAGAATTCGCCAGGTCATTTTAGGATCTAATCTAATTTATGTGGAACAAGAAAGAAAGACCCTATAACCTTCTGGCACGATTTATATGAGTGATTACCAGAGCATTGCACGCAGATAGGCAATGCTTTACAGTTGCGAGTTATATGACCTATATCATGGCAGTGGCAACACCTTATGATCTTTACATAGTTTTGGGAAGTGCCTATATAAAGGCGAGCCTCATGATCTTAGCGTAATTTGGATTCAATTCGATGATCCAAGCTGTTCTGTCAATCTAGACTAAACTGTGCTTCTCTGGGGTGAATTTATTGAAGGGAGGGGCTGTAATTCAATTATCAAACGCTTGTGTTAGTTTATGCTTGCACATATGATATGACTCCAAAGGCTATTACTTGTTTTCTCAGTGTTTTTAATTCGGATATCAGGATCCTGATACCTGACAGCCCAAAAGAGCTCGAGTTCTTTTAGGTTGGCCTATTTTCCGATGCTCTTTTCAGATAGTCGAATTGGCTTCTTTTTTACAGCAAATAAAAAGTTAGTGTGTAAGAGTAGGGCGGATTTGTTGAAGTGGGACTGTGAAATGTTCAAGTTCCTATTCTGTGCTGAGTTGGGATTGGATAGATTGAGTGAACGGTCGAAGTTCGTTTGCCATGACGATAAATGTGTGCTTTGATAGCTTTTGCTTCAGTTTGGTGAAGCGTGTTTTCTTAATTGTTATCAAGTTGAACGGTATCCTGTCATTTTTCTAATGTGGAAGACTGGTGTCCAGATGCTGAGGATGAAAACTATTGTTCCTGATAGGAACTAAAGGTTGCTGGGCGACTAAAGTAGAGCTGGTGCTTTCTACCTCAAGGAATCTTTCGCTGTTTTCTCAAGGAAAGACACTGTAACTCTCCATCGAGATGACATCCTACCTAAAATTGTAGACCAACTTGATTTGAAGCAAGGAAAGACCTACACTAACACTGCCAGAAATAACTATCGACTTCAGGACTTGGTTAATCTCACGATGATTAAATAATACTGTTTCGGCCTAAGCCATCTATTATTGGCAGAACCCAGCGAAGGAAGACAGTAATTTATCTAAATCTTTAAATATAATTCTTTCAGAGTCGCATATTATTAAATTACCCAACATAAAATTCGCACTCTAACGCTCCGACTGATACAGATTATTAAAATTGTTAATATATATATATATATATATATATATATATATATTATTAGTAGAAGTATTTTGGATAGATACTAATTTAAAAAAAAACTGAAATTTCAATACCTAATACCGATAAATACATAAATTGGCTAGTTAATTTTTAGGTACATATACACTGACGTACCAATGCAGAATATTGACACAGATAGGTACGCAGAGGAACTTTTCTACCCTTTATAAACCAGTTGGTGCTAATACCACTAGTTTGATGGTGACCGAAAGAAATTTGTATGGGCCTGTGACAGCTTTGCTATCGTAGGCCCTTTTTCTCCAAGGCCATCATCGTCTCAGACCCTAGGTCTATTCTATAGGTTTTTGCCAATAGCAGAAATTGGGACACCAAACGAATTTAAAATAACGGACATCCTTTCAACATTTTCACGGACTCTCATAGTACAATGGGTGCTAGCATATTGTAGAGGAAAGGCAAAGAAATGACAGCCCTCTTCAAACAATCTTCTGAACAAGAAATCTTATGAACATTTTGATAAATGGCAAATAAAGACGGAACTTAGCGAGATTCATATTTCAAATTTTTGCATGAAAGTTATGAAAGAATCTTGAAAAAGTCTCTAGGACAAAGGATGTAAATATCCCAGATTCTCCTCGTTGAATAGCTGTGGCTTCTAAGATAGCTGATAGTTTAAGTGCAAAAAATCAGACATTTGTAGTAAATAATTCACGTTATACATAGAGAAAAGCCAATTAAGACTCAAATCTCCAGTAAACCGACAGTGTTCAGTTATTTACTGAGGCACTGTTAGCCCCTTGCCAGTGTTTCATTAACTATTAATAACATATTTTAATTTTCCTAAAGTTGCTGCACGAATTTTTCATTTATTTTGTTACATAAATGTTGTGAACAACAATTCCTGAAAGTAGATTTTTAAAAGTAGATTTAAAATATTGAAATATTTATAAACAAAATTGATTAATTTGTGCTTTTTGATTTTTCTCACAATGCTCTGCTATCGTAGGCAAAAAAAAAATTTGATTCGAGTTTTTGTTCTCATAGCAATATATCTTCCTGAAGTTAATGCAAGTGTACAGAAATTTTTTTCTTTGGTAAACACTGACTGCTTTTATATGTATTTACAAAATATGTCTCGTTTAAAAAAAGCCTCAAATTAAGGAACTTGTTTTTTGCAGTCTTCTATTTCTCAGTTCCAGATTTTCGGTAATTTAATTTTAAAATGAGATTTTTTTTTCAGAAAGATTTACAACAACTTTACTATTTGCGGAAACCGATAGTATCTCATGATTTCATCATTTCATTTCCGTGTACAGGTATATAACTCACATAAAATAATTAAAGAAATAATGATCCCGTCTTTAATATGGAAGATATTCCTCAGGATTTCTTTTATTGAAAAGCTTTTGTTTCTTCGTTGAAGAACAGAAGCTCAGTCGCAGTTCATACAAAGTATTCATTATTGAAAGCTTTTTGTTTGAACTTCGACTGAATTCATCATTAATACACAGTTATGAAATAACTCTTCAATCTCTTCAAAAACTTTGAAACGTTTATATTAATCTCACTACACGCCAAAGTAATAAGAAACGTTGTTTCTTGGTAGCACACAATAAGCACTTCATTAGTGAATATTTTTTAATGCTGAAACAAAATAAAAGCAAACATTATGGATGTGCAATCTCGAGTCCAAGAGGCGCCAAAGGCGTTTTCTAGCAGAGACGAAATGAGGTCATCAAAAATCGTACATAATCACGTTGCTTAATTAAATGCGTCCTCATTCTACAAGGATTCAAGATTTCTTACCAGATTTAAACCAGACTTGTGTATTATTGTTATTTTTACATTTACTACGGTCGATTTGCACTTTTGAGAAGCATAGAGTCACTGTTATGCATTACTGCCGGTCGTGACTACATGCAATAGAAGCAGTGTTTCAGTACCCAAAAATATAGAATAAGAACAGACTAAATTTTCAGCAGTTTTAACCATAGATGAAATATCTGTGCACGTTTTACGTGTTCTTTACGTTCTTGCTGAATACCATGCTTGTAGAAAGCTAGTTATCAGAATATTCACTTAAGTGGATACTGAATTAAAAGACTGACCTTTTTATATTAAACTGTCTCTTAGAAAACCATAAAAATACCCAAAGAACAGCCTTAAGTAATAGTTAATGATTTTTACTCTAAAAACGCTTCACTGTGCATCGATAGTGCCATCGAAAATACCTAAAAGGGAGGGTGCTCACAGGGTCTTGTTTAACCATCTTTAGAAGTTACAGTATATAGGCGGTCTGAACATACTAAAGCTTTCGCACTTGCAAGTAAGCTCTGTGGCGCTTATATTTGATAATCCTTGACAACGCAAAAGGAGCAGTTGATCAAAGGCGATAGTCGGGAAGAGTAATTTGGATTATTATTACCATCGTTTAAATTTCTTGCTTCTTCGGCAAGGCTGTTTACGATTTCATTTCTAGAAATGCCAATGTGACCAGGCATCCATTGCAGTATGCAGATCTTGTCTAGATTGTCAGTTTCCTTCAACCGATGCTTAATGTCTTTGTCAAGTGTTAGTTGACCTTTATTTATTTCTTCTATGACAGCTCTGGAATCACAGAAGACAACCAAATCATTTGCGGTTTTGGTATTCTCAAGTAGATATTCATGTAAGAGCTTTATTCATTTCTCTCATCTCGCTGGGGAAATTTGAGGCTAAGGTGCCTGCGCCAATTTTGGTGGTTCACAGTTATACTCTTCAGTACCGCTATACGTATGCAGCTCTGCCGTTCTGGATAGTTACGTCCGTCAGCCGAGCCGTCAGTATATGCATGGACGAGGTTACTTTCTAATATTGTTTTGATAGCCTACATTCCTTTTGCAAACATAGTACTTGTTAATTCGTTTTTCGAATTTGGTTCAATGAGGTTAGTACAAATTTTAGTGTTCTTAGGGAGAGCTGTGAACGGTAAAAGTTCTTCAAGTATCGCCAGAGTTTAATGATCCAGACCGATCATTTATCTGATTTAAGAATCCAACTGTAAAGCAGATGGTCTTTTAAGTCTGGATTTTCTAGACCAGTTCTCGAAGATGTTTTGTGAGATATCATGGGGGCACAGCTTCTAGCTTAGTTTTGTTTTTAAAATAATTAAGCATGCTTTAAAACCCTGCCTGAAATTTGGTGTTAATTATAAATTAATTGTCATCAGTTTTAGGAACTATATTCCTATAATTTCATTCCACTAAAGACGTATAATAGTTCTCATAAACTTTTCTTTTTCTTGCATTTTTAAGAAAGAAATGTAAAGGAAACTATTATTTGCCATTCTACAAATTGAAATAAAATACTGCGAAACGGTTTAAAAATTCTAAATGTTTATTAAATTAATTTTACTAAGTGCATTTTTATATGCCGTAGTTCTAATGAAACTGCATATTGTCATTAATTGAAATTACTTCCTAAGTTTAACAGTTTATGCAAATTCTCAGTGATGATATCCATGATGATGGCCACCATCATAATGGTGGTGATTGTGATAGGCACTGGAATGAAGATGAACATTCGCTGGATTCTGATTGGCTGTTCCTGGTTCATTTGTTTTCACCTCAGCTCGAAATCCGTGGTGATCGGCGGTGCACCTCCCGATGAACTCCCCTGTGATCAGTGAAGCCGTAGCTTCCTTGGACACGACCATGGCCGTCACCATGCTCCTTCCTGTATTGTGATCCATGGTGATCCTTGATGTCGTAGCCGAAGTGATAAGGATGAGGATGGTGGTGGTGATACTGTAAGAAAGGTATATATATATATATAAGAGAGAGAGAAAGAGAAGTAGTTTGTTATGTAATATTGCTTCTTAATTTTCATTTTCAGTAATTTGATTTTATTTGTTCAGTTTAAAGTAATCGTTGTAAGTTAATTCCTTTTAAACTGTAATTGTTAACTTAAAATTTTAAATTTAGTTATCTGGTTTTATTTTACTGTTTTGTTTGAGGTTGTTTTGGTTTGACGTTTAAAGGTAATTTAACTTTTAAATTTAAAATTTTCTATTTGTTACGCTAGTTTGGTGTGTAAATTTTAAATGCATTTTTTATGTTTAATTTTTACCCCTCTTTCTATTAAAGTTATGAATTCATGAATCCATGAGTACTGACTCAGGTGGTAATTTCAACTGATGTAATGAAGAAACTTAATTTTTAGAAATGATCTTAAGGCTTAGAGTCAATGAAAAAATATTCCCAAAGCAAGTTATTGTGTCTAATGATGTCTCGGTTCCATTGACAGTGGTCCAGAAAACAGTAGCAGGTAGCTGAAAGTGCAGGCTCTCATAATTCGTAAGTTTGATACCCATTTTTCTGTCATTTATGTCTTCATGGATTCAAGCGAACTCATTACGCACTCTTATAAGTTCTGTTGAAGGCAAATGCTCTATGGCAGGTACTTGAAGTATTGACATGTTTCAGAATACGCTAAGTAGTAGTATACAGAGTGATATATTAACAAGAAATATAATAGGATGAAGAAAGATTATTCTTCATAGTCTTCAAACTGGGGTAGTTGAATGACAAATGATGAACAGGCGACACTCGAGAAAGTTTAACCGAGACTAATTAGGCTGCCGAGTATAGTATGAGGGTAGCTAACTAGCAGTTAAGGTTAAAAAGTCCTATTGTTATAGTATTCCTTAATAACATCGTTCACTATTTTCTGCATTATCAAAAGATGATAGCCTGATGAGTTCTGAAGCATCATATACTAGCGCTAGAACGATATCATAAGCTTATGATTTTTATGGCATTTGAGTACATTACAGGATGCCATAATTCAGGGGAAAGTTTTGACGCTACGTATTGCCGGTAAGGAATCTGATGCTACGTTTTCAAGCTTTACCCAAAACACGTAAATGCGTCAGTTTAAAAATACATAAAATAGACTTCATCAAAACATTCCAAAGGCTTGTTGTGTCATAAGAGCTCCCAATTTCACATTGACCATTTGTTCTTACCATCAGGAAATTTTGATCATCGAGTTGCCACGCTTTTTAGGCTCATAATTTTTAAGGTATCGCAGTAGCTATTAATGCCGATAGCTATTGCGATATCTTAATATCCTCTGTATTCTGGCAAAAAGAAAGTGCCCAATGAAATAAGCCATAAAATCTTGTTTCTGCTTGATAACTTTATTTCACCTTGAGGAAACACACGATTGCTTGCTTTGGATGGAAAGTTAGGAAGAACGATTAAAAACTCACTGTAGATTTGCCAGAGTCGAATGTTGAACCTTTCGCATTCCATTGATGTTTTACAAAACTGTCATCTGGAGAAAATGTCTGAGCAAAAGAACATAAGGGTTCTTCCTGAATCTTTCTTCCTTGTATGCTTTTTTTAAGACAAAGTTACAAAAAAATCCGTTGAATTGTTAGTTCAGCAGTCTAAAAAAAGGTGAAAATAGTTTCCAATAACAGGAGCAACAAATATTTATTGTTTATTTATCATGCTATCCTTCTGGGAGAATTTCTGGCGATAAAGTCAGCATTCAGTCTAGCCTTTTCTTTTGAAATCATTATAGAGTAATTGCATTTTTGGATATGTCATTTGCCTTTCATACGTGGATCAGGCAACGAAAGAAGATAAGAAATCCGATCAATGTATGATCACAAGAAGATGCAAAATTTGATGCACATTGATGAAACTTATTGCTAGAAAATTCGAAGAATAAAAAATATTTAATCAAAATTGGTTAAATTTAAATGAAGATGTCATTATCCATTAATTCTTTCATATCGCTCAAATTAAAGAAATGAGTTGAATTTGACCTAGAACAATATTTTTATAATTAAACAAATTTAGTCTAATATTTCTCTAAATTTTAAATATGGATGATACCTTAAGTACTAATTTAATAGCACAATTTTAAATAAATATGATATAATTTAAAATTCCATATTCAAAAACTACTCCAAAACATAATAAATTTAAAGATTATCTATAATATCACTTCTATCTACACTAGGATTATTATGTTTGCATTTAGAATAATTATCTATTTTAGTTGTTGATAAAACAAATAATTCGATATTCACCTCATGATGACCATAGTGACTGGACAAAACTATCGTACACCACATACTGATGAGAAGAACCTAAAATGGCAAAAAATTACTTATTTAAGAGTGAAACATATTTTGTTCCTCGACACATTAGTTTACTCTTATGGATGTTCATACCGTTTTTTTACATTAGAACTGTTTTTAATAAATGAATCTACTGAATCTGGTAATTGTATGATAGCAAACCAAATATTACAGGAAAAAGAACCAAATATTACATCACTTATCAATCACTATTTTTTGCATGATTTCTCTTTCTTTTGCTCTCTAATTATATCTCTGTCAATATTGTATTCATTTATGAATGTCTCTCTCTCCCTATATATATATATATACACTGTATAAAAATATATTTATTATAATAATTTATGATTTTAATTGAATTTCTGTTCCTTGGAGATTGTATTAAAAAGTTTTCTAATGATACATTATATAAATGTATACCTGATTTTTACATTTACAGTCTATTTTATTTCTCTGCTTTCATAATCTCATTATGCATATATCCATAACTTTAAGTTATCCATATAAACACCTTTATATTCATCACCTGCGTATCATTAAAATAGAAATTCATGAAAATAGAGATCTATGTCTAAATTTATCGGCTCCTTGGTAGCGTCAATGAAATTTTTTAATTCTGATTTGTTCTTATCGTTACAGAACTAAATATCTTTGTATATATAAGCGGCTAAAGTGTGTGTCGCCGATAGTTTATTGTTGCCACTCGGAAAAATGAGCGCGGAAATTAACGTTTCCGCAGTTTTTAATTAATATCTCAACCGATTAAAGTCATACGAAGATGAGAACGGTATCGATAGATTCGGAGAATTTTTTGGAATCCGAGGATACGCGTCTCGAGTTTCAACTCGGCGTCGTTCCGTAGATATTCGAGAAAAAAGAATTTGGCACGAAGCCAAATTACTCTAATAGGGAAAACCCAAGATAGAAAGTGGAAAATGTAGGGAAAACGTAAGGGAAAATTAGTTTTTAATTAATATCTCGGCTAATTGAAGTCCAAAGAAGACGCGAATGGTCAAAATGATGTGCCACGGACCTGCGGAATCCAACGGTGTGCTTCACTAAGCCCGGGAGCCAGCCGTTTCGGAGGAAATGATGTTAATTCTCCACATATATATACGCGGCTTAAGTGTCTGTTTGTCGCCGATAGTTTATTGGTTGCTTGCGTAACTGTACTAGCCAATGCGGGGAAGTTGCCACTGTACAGGGTTGCCGTTTCAATTGAGACGTAGACAATTTCCTGTAAAACTTGCCTATGCTATGACCATCCATAAGTCTAATTTTCCTTCATTGCACTCTACTTTAAGCAATTAAGCAAGTAGAAGGGGGAAGGCCCGTGGGGCAGTAAGCAAAGGGGCTTCCTCGCCGCCTGCCCTGGGTAATTCAGTTTAAATTAGCAGACACCTTTGCACAAATCATTTTAATTACAATTTATAATATCTAGAACAACGGTCATTTCGTATGACCGCCGGGCTTTCTAGTTTCTTTATATCTGTGCTTTGCTTATGATAGTTTGATACTAAGGGAAATTGTGAATTTTTTCAAATGTGTTTTGAGCTCATCAGCTTAAGCTTATAGGTTTCTAGTCACTAATTATGCAGTAGTTTTGCTTCAAATGAAAAAAGGTACTTACGTAATAAATAAGTTATCATTAAAATTCCAGGAAATCTTTTTTTCGAGGTTCAAAAAGTTTTTAGGGAAGTCTATCTGACTATTTCAGTCCACGATTAGCTATAGACTATTTCAATGTTATGGCTCCTTGATGTTACGGCTCCACCATGAGTATATCATTCACCTGTTGTGGCAATAAGTTTTACAATTCTAGCAAACCAAAAGGTCTTTAATTTATCTTCCAAGCGCCACGCGTATGATCTTGTTCTCAGGTTTACACCATTCCGCAAAATATAAATTATTTAATTTTTCTTTCGGATTTAATCTATCTTGAAAGATTGAGAGGATTAAATACGATTCTTTAAATTTCATTACTTCTTCCTTTTTTATAACATGCGTATTTACTTAATATATATTAAAATACATTATCTTAATCAATAAAAGATGTTTCTAACGACACAGATTATGTAAATGCTACAATATCATTTATATATAAAAATGTGTTGATATTTATTTTGTATTTTGAGCCCTCTTTTTTGAAAAACTATCTCATGAAGTTACTTTATTTGTTTTCATTTCAGTTTTAACAGGAAATGAAACTAACATTCCGATTCGCTTGATTCATTTGAAACTAATTTAGGTTATTTTGGTTTCGTAAACGAAACTAACTAACTTAGCCCCCCCCCAAACAATGAACTAGTTTTCCTAAATAAAAATAATACTTCAGTAATAAATGCAATACTTTAAAAATTAATATCAAATGGAATATACATACATCTTTAAGAAACTATGTCGAGATTAGTTTTATTTATATTTATAACTTTCATTTTTAAAAATACAGAAATATTGTCCTGACATGACAAAACAAGATATTAAGATAATATTTAATCAAATAACTGGTGAATTATCAAGTGCGAATTTAATGTAAAATGTAAAAGTTGAAGAATAGTAAGAACTTCAGTATCTTTGCAATCATGGCTTTAAGACGAAAGTTGAATTTCCTAAGACCTACAACAACTGTTTATTCCTAAAGATCAAATATCTCATCTATCAAGGGGTGGTGCTTCGAAATAATATATACTTAGAGTAATATATACTGATAAAATATACTTCAAAAGTACCTGGTTCAAACAGGAACGATGCAGGAATGTTCTGATAGTCGGCACCTTTGAGAGATTTTAGGTCACTTTCACTACTTTGAAACCTGCTAGAATTGTAAAACTTATTCAAGCAAAAAAAAAAAAAAAAAGCTAAGAAATTGAATGAAACAAGTTCACATATTTACATACTTTAAATTACTGGTTAAATGAAACAAGCTCACTGAACCTTATAAACATTCCAATTTGTTTAAATGGTTGTGGTAATGACTTTCGCTATGGTTCATTATTTCCTTTGTATCTTAAGATTCATTATTTAAAAATTTTTAGGATTTTATTTCATTTTTCCAATTTGAATTACGTGGAGTTTTCCCCTAAATGTGAACAATTAACATAAATTATTTAAAACATTATTCGAAACTGAAACTGTCCTAGTCTTAAGTCTTAATTGAGACCGAAATTGAGACTTTCTGAAACTGAGACTCTTAATTAGTTTTAGTCTTAGCCTGTAAACAATTTTAGCATATATCCTTTCAAATTTTAGTTTAAAAAGTGGTTTTGATAATTAAATTAAGAAGTCTATACTTCATTTTAAAGTTCCATCTTTTATCTCATTTTCTTCTCATAAACAACGAAAATACGGGTCTTTAACTGTTGGATTTTAGGTGATCGAAGCTGAAAACAGCTAGTAGCATTTATGATCTGTGAAAGTCCCTTACAATACTTAATAAAATTCCCTTACATTTTATGAAGGTTTTATGAAAGGAAGTAAAAATAAAAATAAAATAAAAAAAGAAATCTGAAAATTTTTAGATTTTATATTACCCCCCCCCCCGAACGGGCTTTTTTTTTAATGTTTTGTGTGTTACCTTTATTTATTAAATATCATGTGCATCGCCCTTAAACCACAAAATTCAATTCAACAGCAAGATCACAAAATAATTTTAAAAAAGCATATTTTTAGAATTTCTGATACACAGTCTCGCGCGATGAAGATGAATTTTTATTTTCGCACATTTTTGCCATTGCACGCTTTGAAAAGGTTGAGTTTGTTAGTCAAAAATTCGTTAAAGCTTTACAAAATATGAAATAGATTATAAAACAAATTCCAAAGTCCAAATTTGGGCTTCCAGATGCTCATATTCGGGTGGAAACGTACGTTATTCAAAATTGGATGGCTCTGTATACCCATGTTTTATCACAATACGAGAAACATACATACATTTATGCACATTCTTCATTATTTAATTTCTTTAAATATAATGCAGGGCTCTAACATTTGGTGGCAACAATTTGAAAAGTGATACGCCGTTCTTATTGATTGTACCTAAAATACCAAAACGAAATTAAGAGCCTTTCTGGCTAACGCCGTTGGCAAAAAATTGCAACATGTGCAAAATAAACGTTAAGAACCAGTGCAATGAATACAGTGGTAAACTCCATATGGAATACTTTATATTGGCATAAAAACGGTTAGTAACTACAATGTTTCACAAATATGGATCTGTAAAAACATTTACGATTCTAAAAAAGCTTTTTTAAAAATATTTAAATTATGCCTTTGTGGCGTTAATGGGCTTTACCTTTTTGACAAAATTTGTTTTTAAAATATTCGAAGTTAACGAATTATTCATAGCTGCTATGGATTAGAACTGAAAACACACATAAAGAAAAACATATTTTAAGTTTCTCAAAGGTTTAAAAAACATTAATTCTCCATTCCAAGTAAAGCTCCACGTTTTCTATATTGTGAAATAAATATTACATACTTGAAGATATTTGAAAATTACATCATCAATTACTATTATAGATATCTTCTCGAAGGAAGCATAAAAATTTGAAAATAATTCGATCAAAGGAAATTTATGGTGGATATAAAAGGTACTAATTTCAAGCATTTCGAATTTTATTTTTTGTTATTTAAATTAATCAAGTAGTTACACTCTAATTTTCAAGCAAAGGAACTTTTAAATTAAACTGAAACATGGATAAAACGTATGTTAGAAACTATTTAATTTTGATTTCTTTCGTTAGAACGATGTCCCTGTGTAATTCTAAAATACTTACTGATATTTCTTTAAGTAACTTTATTTATTTAATGACTTAATAAAAGATAGAAAATAAAATAAAATAAAATTTACCGTGTTTTACTTAATCAAATTTTAATTAAAAGTCTTTTAAATATCGGATTTCACAAATTTATTATTTCCAAGAGTATACAAAATTTTTACAGATTCCACGGACTACAGATTTCACAAATTAATACGTTTTTGGTTTGCAAATTTCACGAATTTTGAATCGCTTTGAGATACATTTCCATTTTTATCGTTAAAAGCCTTTCAAATTAGATAAAATTGGATTTTTTAAGCCTGACATAATAACTGAACATTAACTTAAACATTAGAGAGTGCTTCGCTTTCTATCAAGTGGAGAACTCGGAACAACCTGTGTTTTAGCTACATATAACCAGTCATGAGGTAAATTAAACAGTTCTTATTTCATAACATGTCTGACACAGCAGTAAAAAATGAAATTATTTATTCAAGAAATAACTTCAAATACTTTTTAAAGTAATCATATATATATATATATATTCAAGTAATAATATAATTTCAAATTAACTTCAATTATTTTCACAATATAACTTCACAATATTTTCACTATATAACTTTCGCAATTATAACTTAAAATTATTTTCACAGATTAGAAGATCCAAAATACCACTACTTTCTAGCTAAACGCAGTCATAATTCAGTCTAATTCTTGCAGTATTTTATGTTAATTGACTAGTTATTATTATTTGACTTTAACCTTTCTTTAGACAGTTCTCAATAGAATGCAAATTAGTTAATGTGTACTTAAGCCAAGGGTTTGAAGCTTTCAGTGTTAGAGCTTCTGGCTGCCTCGCGTTACAGTTACGTACTTACCGCCAGTTCTGATCGGGTAATACATCTTGTCAGCCGACGCTTAAAATGAGTACCGTCAATTATTTTGAGAGAGTTTAAGCAGTCTATTGCATGTGTAGTCTCAGATTATGTTACTTACATTTGAATTTATCTTAATGTTAGTTTAAATAGCCGCAGCAGCGGAAATTCTTCTGTATCACAAAGTAGTGCCTTCTTTTCATTTAAGAGACAGATAAAATGGCTACTTTAACCTTCTTGAGACTTCATCATTTGTTTCAGATTAAAGCGATAACTCGCTTTCCACGCTAAAAGCCAGCAGGAAATTGGATAACAGTTCTGCAACCTTAATGTGTATTCTTAATGTGTATGCTTTGGATTTACCTATTTGGGTTTACCTTCAAGAACACTCAAGTTTTGAAAAAGAATGCAATACGTAAGAATAGTTCCTAAAGCACCCAAAATAAAACTTCTGCCCAAAGGTAAGATTCCCCAAATAGTCAGAAAGGTGTCTTTATTTGCAATATGCAAGAAACGTACATGTGCTGTTACTGTGTTATTCTGAGACTCAGGAATTTTCTGCGCTGTAGAACTCAGACCTTTTGCTTCATCTGATACTCTAGAAGCTGAAACGCCCATGACGATGAATGCCAACAAACTGGATGCAAATACAAGACAAACTGCGGGGACATACGATGTTCTACCGAGAGTACTTGGGTATTGTATCAGACCAAGAGTCATGTAAATAACGGCACCATTATACAGAGTTGCAAAGAAGATCAAAGAGGATAAGTCGTTATCAACTGCAGTTATCGTATCAGTGATACCGATATAGCTCTGTATATAAATATTCAGATTTGTTGCGTTACCTAATTTCATGGATTCTTTAAATTTTACAATAGCACATTTAAGGTAACCACACACAGAACAGTAATACGAAAGAAAAATGTAGACTGGTATGCATTCAAATAATACAGTGTGGATAGTAATGACTATGCCAAGTATGTGGTTATAGATCTCATTTTCCAATTTCATGCCAAAAAGGACCATTGGGAGATTTAGATGATTTTTGTCATGCAAAGCTGCTTTTACAGAGAATACACAGGCAGTTGTAAGCATGAGAGCGGAACAGATTGTAGATATTTCCACCCACCTTTCACGATGCTGCTCTGTCTTGATTTCCATCTGAGAAATATTTTGGAGGATCACTTTCAGCCGAGGGAATTTACAACACAGAATGCATCGATGAATTAATGTTACAACATGTATAAGTAGTGATGCCACTTTCACTATTTCATGATTTCTTGTAATGTTTATTGCCATAGAAATACAAGTTATGGCATGTAATAATGAGATTAAGATGGACAAGCATGTCAGGATGGATTTAAACACTTTGCACATCAAGTTACCATCTTTCGTCTTCGTGATTTCAGTCACAGCACAGATGTTTAAAAACGTAAAAATTATCTTATAATATAATTGTTTACTAATGTCTTTCATTTTTATTTTATCCTTGCCAAATAAAAACAAGTCTTTATCAACTAAAAACGTTGGAATAAAAAAATGCTATAGCAAACCCCACGTTATACGTTGCCTCCGTTGCCTATCTAGCTGAAATCTACGTATCTGTATACAAAATTTTTTAAGATTAACTGCTTAGAAATGTATTCACAGTATTTTATTTTGAAAAAACTTCGATTAACTCTTAACCGGGATCGTGTAGAATAAGTTAGGTTTGTTAGCTATGAACTAAATCGAGGTTTTATCAGTTTAAAATTCTGATAGGTAAACATATATGTTTGTGTTCTCAAATTGCATACCCTTGTTGTTTAATCTGAATATATTTACTTACATGGAAATGATATCATCAACGAAGTCATAATTTCCTGTTTCCAAAGGCTAATGTTAGATAATTCAGGGACGGAAATTAATAGCAAATATTACTCTTTCAAGTAAGGCAACTTTGGAACAAAATTTATGCAAAGAATTAAGTTATAGAGACTTCTAAAGTTATAGATATTACCTTGTTTCAGATTAGACACATTGAAAAATATTAAAACATTTAAGAATTTTTAGCCCAAAGGGCAATTTGCCCTGAAGGACTAGTAATTTCGTTTTCGTATTTTGAGTTGAAAACTATAAACATCGAATTACTTTTTAAATTGTTGCCACCAAATATTATCGCCCTCCATTATATTTAAAGAAATTAAATAATGAAGAATCTGCATGAATGCATGTATATTTCTCGCACTGTAATAAACAACGGTACCTAGAGCCATAAAAATTTGAATAATGTAATCTTTTATAGAATATGGGCATGTGGAAGCCCTAATTTGAATGTGAAATTTGTTTTATTATAGAATTCCTATTTTGTAAAACTTCTGCCCAAAGGTAAGATTCCCTTTGATTCACTGGGTAAGATTCCCAGTGAGCGGGGAAATACAGTTTTATACAGAAAACAAAGGTGAAGCAAAGCGAAAACGAATGTAGCAATGATTTGTTGGGGCAAGAAGTCATTAAACTTAAATAAGCGAAATTTTGAAAGTGTTGGAAAGAGATAAATTTGGCAATTGATATCATTACCTAAATAAGAAAATATTTGTTTATGTGAAAGGGCAATGTTAGCAGATCCATAGTCGAAATTATTTAAATGTTCGATTATGATTAGCAATCAAAAATTTATTGATAGCATCCTTTTCGAACACACGTTTCACGTTCTCTGATGAGAAATTACAGCGCTATTTCAATTTATTTGACTTCAGTTATTAAATTTAAGCATCTATTGAAATTTACAACAATATTAATGCATTGACCTAAAATTAAAAAAAATAATGTAAATCGAATTTTGAAACAATCGCTTCATCACATTCCATTTTCATAGACAAATAATATGCGTTTACTGTCCGGTAAGCAAATGGCGCGGAAATTGAATAAAAAGTTTCAAACAAACAATAATTAAATATCTCAACAGAAACATCTAATCTTCTTACAAAGTTAAATCAAAAGTAAGTGTTAAAACAGTTATAGGTGAGCTACAGTCTAGCAACCGAATTCTATTAACAATGATTCCAAAGCGTGTTGCCAAATCTGGGCAAAGAATAGATATAAATTCGTTTCACAGCGGGATGAGAGGCGTGAAAGTAAGCAAAATGCGAATTTGATAACTTATTTGGAAGTGAGTTAAAAATCTATGAAAAACTTCCAACCATAGTTAAACATCATGAGTGAATATTAAAAATTTATATAATATCTCCTTAGAATTATAGTTCCAGTTGAGGAAAAAGTTTTATGCTTTCGCTAATTAAAAATAAAATGTTTCATACACTATATGTAAAATTTGTGAAAGTATTCAAGAACGAATAAAGAGACTTTGTGATCTGCTGCGGACTAAAGTTTATTTAAATAAAGGAGTTCTAATTTATAAAGATTAATTTGGAGTCAGAAGCCAATAGATTTTTTCATGCCTATTACCAACTTAAATTCAAACTATGGGTTTTGCAGTTTAAATTTCTTTTTTAAATAATTTTACAGTAATTTAAAATTTTAAAAATAAATAAAATCTGAAAGGTTTCAGATTTCATATAACGTCCAAAGGGGCGTTTTTTTAGCAATTTGTGTGTTACCTTTATTTATTAAATATCCTTTTTTAAACCATAAAATTAAGTTTAAGAGCAATATCGCAAAATAATTTTTAAGTGAGCATATCTTTAGAATTTCTGAAACACAATCTCGCGCGTTGGAGATAATTTTTTTCTGTACAACGTTGCAATGGCTCGCTTTGAAATCCTTGAGTTTGGGCATGTGGAAGCCCTAATTTGAATGTGAAATTTATTTTATCATCGAATTCCTATTTTGCAAAACTTCAACGAATTTTTGATTAAAAAAACTAATCGATTTCTAAGCGAGCAATACCAACACTGTTCGAAAACATTTTTGTCTACAAAATATGAAACTGATAATAAAACAAATTCCAAATTTAAAATTTGCGCTTTCAGATGCCCATATTCACAGGAGGATAACGTTAGTCAAAATTTGATGACTCTAGGTACCGTTGTTTTATCGCAATGCGAGAAACATACATACATTTATGAAGATTCTTCATTATTTTATTTCTTCAAATATAATACAGGGTGATAATATTTGGTGGCAACAATCTGAAAACTGAAACAAGGCTTGTAGTGAATCAACGCAAAAATGCCAAAATAAAATGAATAGTCCTTCTAGGCAATTTTCCCCTTCGACTAATTATAGTTTTTGAAATTTAAAACTTTATGTTTCGGTACAAAAGTTTGGAATTCCGTGTTTCATGAAAGTGTTCGTGAAGTATTATATTGATCAATTTTGCATGCGAAGATGAAGGATATTTTGTTTTTAAATAATGAAATCATAAAGAATATTCAATGGTTTGAAATTTTTAAACTACGCGAATTACAGGAAATGTTAGTAACTTTTACGGAATCCTCATTATTTACAATACTGGGACTTTTAAACAAAATTCTAAGTATTATTTATTAAGGCTCATATCGATAACATTCTAGTTAATTTTTATGAATTTATTTTCTGAAACATTTTGAACATTAGCAACTTTGCTATACTATGAACTTGAACTTGCTTTTTAAGAAATTTAAATATGACTTATATGTTTGAGAAAAATATTTGAACGGATACCTGGTCACTACGTTTTTCGAAAACCTGACATATTTTATTTAAAAAGTTCGTTTTGCACATTAAACAATCAAATAAAAAAACCTGGCTTTACTATTCTAAGATAAAGCGCAGTATATTTGATTGAAAACTATGTTACTGTCAATCATAGATAAATATAGTGTGTTTTTTACTCCTCTTTTTCAAAATTTAGAGAATAGACCTTTTTAACTATTATATACATTTTTAACTATATAATAACCTTCTATAATAGAACTCCAACATCAAAATTAAGAAAAGAGACAGTAATAGTATTCGGGGGCAATGCTGTAACAGTCTTTTGTCCAAGTTCACTCAAGTGAAAGGCAGTGAACTCCAAAATCAACTTTAAACTTTTTTTTAACTTCCCCAAACAAGTTCTGTTATATGTAAACAAAGAATGTTTTCCGCCTAAAAACATTTAACACTTTTTTTATTAAACTAATTCGTTGCGATCTTGACTAAATGGTTGACTAAATTTTCTATTTGTTTGCACATAGAACGGGTGTGGTAGTGACCTAAAATTCTTTCTGGTATTGATTTGAAGGTACGCTTATACACGACAATGTCGTACCTTGCAATACCAATGTATTTTCAGAGATATATAAATATGTGCAAAAGCAAACAGTCAATCAAACATAACACAAGGATTGGATTGTTTCCTTTGACTACTTTAGATTCGGATATTCACCATGGTCGCTAAGGTAATACTTTCTTGAGTAATATACAAAATATTAATTTTTTTCGGTGAATTTAAGTATTAAATTTATCGTTAATACTACTAATGCAGTTGAACAATATAACTCGTAATTGTAAAATTTATTAAGGAATCTGTCTTAATACCTGGTTCCAAATAAATATAGGAAATCTCTAAACAAAACAATGTAAAAGAATTTTTAATTCTTAATACATATCATTTTCTAAAATAAGATAAAATGTAAAATTTGCATGTGCATAACATAACTGCGAAATTCCAAGATGCCTTGAAACAGTTTTACTGAAGTTCTTTATTTCAGCCCCTGAAACTGAAATTTTTGTTATTAATGAAATTTTAAACAAGAAGTACTTCTTAATTAAAAGTTTTTGAAGAAATTTCAATGGATTAATTTCTGTTTAATTCAGATGGTAATAATAGTGATAAGCAAATCTGCTAAGGAACAGCTTCTAAATTCTTCTTAAGCCCACCAGCGGCCGAGCGGTAAAGCCGCTGAACACTGGTAGTTCGGTCCAGAGGTACGAGTTCCTCGAACGGGTTCTGCATGGGAGTTCCTATGGTTTTCCTCATGTGTATCATGTATAGGAGCCACTTTTCCTTAGAAAGTGCTCCCTGAAGTTATCCCTCCCTTTCGGCAGATAGCCCTCGAGGCTTTGCCGTAACCACATAAACCAAACCAAACCAAAATGCTTCTTATATCGTAACTACCATACCCAAACAAGTGATTTACATTTTTCGCTTGTAATTTACATGTATTGTACCTTACCTTTAAAATCATTTTTCTGGAAACGCCGGTTTCCTGTATTCTGGTTTTTGGAGTGAAGCAGACCAAATTCCATTTCTGCTCACCTCAAGATGTTACCAATCGGAACAGTGGTAGCATTTCAACACACAACTTATCTTGTTTGTCTCACATATCACGATAGCTCATTTTTAACTTTGAATTTAAATAGAAAAAGGCAAAAACTAAGCTGAAATATTTTTCCTGTTGCTTTTTAATACTTCACGTGAATTTAAATTTGCATTTTCCTCAATATAACTATCTGAAAGATTTGTCATAATTTATTGAAGTTCTTTTAACTACAATACGTTTTTGAAAAAGCAACATTCAGCTGACGGTGCATAAATGATTTGCCAATAGTCTTTTGCTATAGAAACTTATAAATTTAGAGAAATATGTAATACCTCTTTGGAAATGATATTTGGAAAACAAATGCACTTGGAAATGAATCGTGATCTGGCATGTTATTGCTGTGTGGAGTTTCTTAACTTTTTCTGATATTTTGAAGTATAAACTGGATTGTTTCTTTGTATAATTTCTTTAGCTCTAGTTTGACTATTTCCATTAGAGCAAACGATAACTATACTCCTTGTTATTACAGTCTGATTATCTTTAATAAAACTAGCAACAATATGAAGTTACTGTGATTCGAACCTCATTAATACTATTACTATGCGTTGAAAAAGTAAAATTACGTATCGACTGCAAGCTAAAGAAATTACCTAAAAAAGCTTTTTTAGATATCCAATTGAATTTTCAATTATCTTCCTCTATTTTATTGCTTTCTTTCCCGTTTCTAGACATTTTTTCATTTGATGAATGAATCGCTATAGCTGAAAGCTGATTTTTGCCCAATTATTTTCATATTTAATTTTTAAAACTTAATTATTAAGCAATATCATGCTTTATTGCCATTAATACACACCAGAAACTCATAATAATACTGTTCTAGAGGTATTCTTTTACCAGCCTCCGTAGCTAAGTGGCCCACTAGCGGCTGAGTAGTAAAATCGCTGGACACTGGTAGTTTTCACACCTGGAGCCGCTCAACCGGTATAGTGGTTAGCGTATGCCGAAGCGACTGTGCTTAGCGACTGCCGTGCCGAAGGGCCCGGAGAAGGCATGTATCTTTGTAAATGTATAGTGTTGGTGCGGCATGGAGGCACTCTAAATATGCGGCGAGCCGAAGATCCTCTCGTGTGGTTGGTGGAAGAGGAGAGGGGTAGGAGACCCTCGGACCCATCCCCCCCGGGGTGCTCTCCATCAAAATTGGGGGCGGAGTGAGCTAAATCGCACTGTCACCTGAATGGGGCTCAAGGCTGTTGCCAACGGCAGGCATATTCCAGCGCTCCTTGCCACGAGGAATTTCGTGGGAACTTCGTGGCAACAACAACAACAACACTTCCAACCTGGGCTCGAATTAAGGCGAAACTGCTGGCCATTGGGGGTTTTTGTGTTTTTCCCCATGTCCAACGCGTATGCTAGCTGGTATCCCTTAGAAAGTAATCCACAAAAGCATCCCTCTTCTTAGGCAAATAGCACCATTGTGCTTTGCCATAATTCATTAAACCGTAGATTAAGAGGGTAGGGGGTTTACAGACGTAACTAATATAATGATTAGAAGATCAATGCAATACTCTGAACCTCACTGAAATAAATATATTGCAAAATTGTTCTTATGAATGATAACAACGAGATTATTTAGCATATGCAAAATGCTGTTGAAGTAAATCATGTTTGCAGTTCTGCATCGTTGTTAAAAATGGGTGAATAGCCATTTTGCAAACTTTGTAGAAAGTTGAACTAAATTTTCATTACGTGTTTGAGGTATGTATATAGAAATTAAAAAATACTTTTTCCCTCCTGTAATGAAATTGAGGATTTGGATGAGAATGATGCTATAATCTCAAATTTAATTACTTCGGACATTTACCTTTTACCTGTTAAGGTGAGGAATTATTTTAATTCCTCTTTATTCAATAACTGAAATTTGTAAATGCGTTTGCTTATTAATTTTATTTTAATCCACCTATTTTTAAAATTAATTAATATTATAAAATAAGATAAAGTATGTCTGAGTGCAAATTTTAAGTGTCTCATTGCATTGACAATTATGTAATAGATAAAATCAAGTTCGAAATTTTACCTAACGCTGGTTTTAATAGAGTTATGCTAATGAAGGTTTATTACGTCATTTTATTCAAATTTTGTAACTATTTGGACGGTTATGTGAAACTTCACAATTCGATTATATATGCGAACTTATTAATACTAAAGATAGGATTGAACTTTTGAATAGTATGATATTATAAATTCACTGTTCTAATTGTCTGAGTGTTTTTAATAGGGAAATATTCTGCTAATAAAATACGCTCCTTCGACATTTATAAAAGACTAAAAAATTAAATACCAGAACAAGCTACCCTAGAGTCTAATATCTTTTGTTTTTTAAAGTCGATGTGTTTGATTTTTAATTAAGAGACATAAATAGTTCACTCATATATTAAATATCTTATTATAAACTTTCTTTTCAGTTTCTTCTTATAGCTGCTCTCTGTGGCCTGGTTTTTACAAATCCTCATCATGGTGTAAGTTAAATTAACGTATTTTCTTAAACATTTACCTTCTCTTGGTGTAAAGTTATGTTTCTTGAACAATCTACTTTTGCTTTTTAGGAAAGGTAGATTGTTCAAAATAATCATAGCTAATAAATAGTGACACAATGATAGCTAATAAAACAAAAATAGTGTCCTAAAGAAAATAGTGGTGGCTTATAAATCTAAACAGAATTATTGGAAGTAAAAATATTACATTCAATATGATATTTTTGAGAACCAGGATGATAAATAACATTCTTCTTTGTAGATAAAAAGCAGCCGTGAAAAATATTAAAAGGTCATTGTATTTGAAATACAAAACACACAAAAATTAGATTTGACGTTTCAGTATAAGATCATTCAACTAAAATGCAATTTTTGTTCTTTGTAGCCGGTGGCCGTTCATATTAAAATCGATTTCGATTGCGTTTATTTACTATACCTCGAATTTAAAATGCAGAGTTTCGTATCATGCATTACCATTTCAAGGGTAAAAAATTAATTAAAGGGAGTCTTCCTGCATTTGTTAATTTTAACAAGCTCTGATTAGAATATATGATATTAACTCAAAAATTCAAAATTTAATATTAATCAAAAACTGCATTTAGTATGTGAGAGCTTATTTGTGAAGTTACGTTCCATACTTAATTTTAGATGACTTGTTATGTAAATGTAGAAATTAAAATCCCCGGTTTTGTATTAAAATGAAATTTCAACTAGTCATGATTTGTAAAGTAATGTAATATACGTGTGTGTTGCAACTTTCTTGGCCGATAGTAATCGGCCTCATGGTTAACGCAGCACATCCAACACAGGTTAAAACAAAAATGCATTTAAAAATATCAAATCAAAATTCCCAATATTGTTCTTTTGTCATTTATAAAGTTCATCAAATCCTTTTCAAATCAAAGCTCTTTCCTGCGGCAATAGAATTTCTTTATGCTACCATGTTTTTCCATAACCTGACGCAATAATACGCAGTCTTCAACGAAATGTAGTGCATTTTTTCAGCACTACAAAACTTTCAAAGACATTATCATTATCGTATTTTTAGAAACTTCAAAGTTCAAATATTCTTTCCTTTTTCTTAAAATATTCCATTTCTCTTTCCATCAGTCATAATAGAAATTCTTGATTTTACCAATAATAATTCTTTTTGATGCCTGAATATCGAACGCATCCCTAGCGTTACCCATAGCAGCCCTTTTGGCCAGTATGTCGGCTCTCTCATGTAGTTTGTAAAGTGTATTTTACTACTTCGCATGAGATTTTTACTCGAAAACCTACCCGGGTAAACATCATGCAACGCTATAAACTTTCAACTGTTTGCTTCGATAAAATAATTCATCACTTATATAGTGCAAAGTAAAAACTGGTAAATTCAAATTATAAAAAACTTAGGATAATTATAATCTAATTTATAACTGAAAAACAACGCTGAAATTATGCCATAGTAATAAAAATATGCCATAATATTAAGCTGCGGAGCTTAACACTAGTTTTGCCTGCTGATTCATTTAATTAATAATTAATAATTATTTGTGGACTTTATCTAAGCAATTTACTTCAGTGATTCTTCACTAGAAAAGCAGTAGTTAGACGAAAATGGTGGTGAAATAATAGAATTTAAATGCAAGACGAGGTCAGACGAGTCTGACGTTCTCGTAACATGTAACCTTAAGAGAAGGTTTAAAATATCTAAATCAATAAAAATACTTTAAAAACTTATTATTATTTTTTATTGTTGCAGCACCATGATCATCACCACCATCCCCATCCTTATCACTTTGGGTATGACATTAAAGACCATCATGGATCACAGTACAGAAAGGAGCACGGTAACGGCCATGGTCATGTAGAGGGAAGCTATGGATTCACAGACCACAGAGGAGTTCATCGCGAAGTTCACTACGTAGCTGATCATCATGGATTCCGAGCTCATGTCAAAACTAACGAACCAGGAACGGCTAGCCACGATCCCGCTCATGTTCATTTGCACTCTAGTGCTCATCATTATCACCATGACCATCATGGCCATCATCATCATGGTGACCATCATCACGGCCATCATCACCACGGTCATCATCACCATGGACATCATCATCATGGATACCATCATCATGGACATCATCATTAAACAATTACGAAAAAAGATTTCTATAATTACGTTTAAATGAAAACTAGGATTCATAGTTTCATTTTAAATTTTGAGTGCTGTTGTTTAATTGTGTGTTAGAAGTAACAAAATGCGCTTTGGGATACCGTGGGTTTTCTTGTTATTGTGTGAGTTGCTAAATTATTTCGTTTTATCAAAAAGAAATGAATTGCTACTAATTCTTGTCTCTTTTAAATGTTTATGGGATTTTTTAATGTGCTGGGGAATTTTTTGTTCTCCCAAAAATTTGGTTGCGATACAGTAATTGTATCAAGATCAAATAACATTTATTTATGTATGTACATAATTTTTGCGATTTACTCTGGTGTTGCAATTTCAGTTGTCTTCTCAGATACATTCTGTGATTCTGATGTTTAGATGCGAGCACTTTTATGCAGATTATGTAAGGATCAATGTATATTTTTATGCAGCTGACATCTTCTTTACTAATTTATAAATATGTTTTAACTGTGTATTTTCCGTAGTTTAATTCTGTATTGAACTTCTCATTTGAAAAGGGGACATACTTTGCTTTATCTAATTTTCAATTCTTTGATTCATTTAACCTCTTTGGGGTAGGGCATGACTTGAATGGTGAATGCTTTGGTCAACTCCTTTTTGACAACTGTTTTTGAGAAAACTTAATAACATTTGTATTGCTGGTTTCAGTCTGTGAAAATTTTTAAAAATATAAACTGATGCTTTTTCTGTATTTATTTCAAGTAAACTTTATTTACTTTATGAAGTCACTAATATATAACCGCATAAAATCTCAAGCTATAGTTGTATTTATTATTGATGTAAGATTTTCAGTACAATGTGAACATATAAATACCAAGCAAACATAAAATGCTGTAAATCCAAACTTACTTGATTACTAGAGAAGGTATTAACACATATTTACAACGATGTCAAAGCCGTTTAATTGATGTTTAAACTGTAAATATATGCTATTTAAATGTTCCATTTGATGGCTTTTTCTTTCTGGATTGTCGTCACGCGTTCCACGATAAATGAGCATTTTGTAAAATTTTGTGACGTATTGCTTTTAATTGCTCTTTTAACTACTTTCTAGTGTCTATCAGTTGTAATAAGTAAGCTATTGTCCTATTCTGAAAAATGCCTGGCAGTGGTGTGCACCAGAGGGGGGGGGAGGGTGCAGTTCTCTAGATAGTTCGTATATGCGGTCTATACCATTTTTGTCAATGACGATGTCGGGGTGCCCCATATACTTGTTACTGTAACTGCGATAAGTAAGCACTTAGAAAAAAAAATTCTTTTCATTTATCCAAAAGCATAATAGCTTATAAAAAAGATATGCCTTTTGACTTTGCAGGAATATATTGAACATGTGTACATACAGTACCTGTAGCACGTTTTCTTTTATATTCAAGGAATGTTACTGTAGCTTCTGAAATATGGTTGCTAGCTTTGTCTTACTGCAAGTTTTACTATTTGAAAGTGGTTGAAATAAGTAAACGGGATTTTATATCCGATATAAAACATTTTTCTGATAGTAGGATGAGATGATTTTACCATTTTTTTAATTTTTATTTCCCACTGTAAGAGTGGTCTGAAACAATCATAAACACATCACAAGAAATTTTTTACCATTTTACAGAAGACTTATAAATACATTTCGTTTTCAATAAAAGCCGCAAGGTATTTTTTATTTATCCACTGCTAGATAGTGCTCACGCAAGTGCTAACAACATTTAATTTGCGCTAACCCATATGCCAAGACAAAAGCCGCTAAAATTTCTCTTTTTCAATTTTTTTTAAGATCCAGATTCTTTTTAATTATTTTGTTTATTGTTGCTATAGCTGTATTTAAAGACTTCATAAATTATTTTTGAATTTTAGGATTTTCTATTATCACCAAACTCACCAGCACTTTAGAAATACTACGTTATTTTTCAGGAATCGTTTGGAGATCAAGAAAAATTAAAATGTGAAGATTTAAACTTAGATTATAGAACAATAAGCAAATTAATTTTTAATTACAGTTTGAGAAAATTAGCCTTTAACTCCAATTAATAATCTTATCAAAGTTATTGCTCACAAAATCCCATTAATCACCTATATTATTACCACCAATGGAATAATCTTTTGTAATCGCACTAATCAATTTCTTCCATACAATTTCTTTTTTTATTTCATATCGAGTCTTATGATTGTTATTAGACCCACATTTTTAAAATGTAAAAAATTGTAGACGTGTACTCTATTTACATAAAATACATATTCTTTAAATGATTTTATTTTAGAATTTCATTTTAAATTGTTCTACAAATCATTGCCATCTACAGCATTGAAACAAAGAATAATTAAATTAAACCATTTTGATGCTTCCTAATGTTTTAAGATACTGAATTAGTATTTTTGATGTTATCAGTTTATAAATTTTGTGAATAAACATTCCAGCAAAGTTAAAAAAAAAAAAAAAAATTGGAACTTTGTTTACAACTTTTAGCAGTACCAGTTTCTACACGTGAAGATATCTGGAGAGGAAGCATTTGGATACTTTCAGTAATTTACATTCTAAATATCACAGAGAATATAAAAAAATTGTACAGCAACATTTACCGCTCTGTAAACGCGAACATTTACTACATGACTGTGTCCACGGCACACATATTTGCCTTTTCTAATATAAGATATTGATTAGTATTAAATGCTGTACTTAGATAAATCTTTCAATCAGCACCTGTCCATGTGTAATAAATTTTCTTTGATTACTATGCATATTCTTTCTTCAGAACTATAAACGTTGTGAAAACTTTGTGATTTTATTGAAGCAAAATAAGAATACTCTGATACGATTTTTCGTTTAAGGTAAATAAAAGTATGTTGAAGTATATTTTAATGTTTAAATCTTTCTATATCTCAAATAAAAATTTCCAAATACTTCTGATAATGAGATCGTTTTTGATTTCGTTCGTACGCCACTGCTAAGAGCCGCCCCTGACGGGAAAGTGGTTAATGACTCTCACTGCCGTACCGAAGCGCCCGTGTTCAAATCCTGAACAGACCATGGATGTAAAGTGTCTATCTCTTAACAGCAGGAGGTAACAGTGTCCGAATATTAGATTCCATCATAATAAAGTGATCACCGCTTTTGCACTTCGTGGTGGCGAAAGCTTGAAATGGCTGGTGCCCGCCATTAAAACAAAAACTTCTTTGCTCAGGCAAAATAATTTGCAGTTAACAATTTCCAGGTTTTGAATATTTTTCATTACTTTTTGCTAAATTTAGGATATACACAATGTAGACAAAGAAATAGAAAAAAAAACATATATTCTTTAGATAATAAGCTTGTAAAAAACACAATAAAATGAATCTATTGATTTAGTGTCGATATGTCTTTATTTAAGCGACTGAAAGAGAAAACTTCAATCATTTTGATCTCTTTCCGATAACAGTTAGCCAACAGAGCGTAAAAACAGAAAAGAAATATCATTAGAAATTCAGCAATACCTTCACTGTTCATCCATGCTTAACGTAGCCACGCAAAGCGGGATTACCTTTCATTTAATACTGAAACGACACATTTTCAACAAATATATTAACTCAGAGTAATTTACTTTTTTTAAATGGAAACCTTCTATAAATTCTTCAAACATTTAGAATGTTTCCATTTCAAGTATTCTTGAAGCAATATTGTAACAGATTCATGCAAGTACACTAAAAATGAGGTGACTGAAAATTTTCTCATTAATTTGGCGATCAAGATAAAGAAAACGGGAATGTAAGAAAATGCTTTGAAGAGATTGAATAAATTTAACTAGAAATTAAATTATTTTATATTATTTTTTATAAAATTTGCAAACATATTTCATCACTTGCGACAAAAAAAAATAAACGCTCATCCTCGTTCATAACGCATAATTGTACGTAAGTGGCTCAAATGAAAACATTGCAAGTGCAATAAAATTCCGAAACATTATACGATTGCTTGGTGATTCGGGAAGACGGGACAGGAATAAATCTACGAGACACCAAGACTTCACCGCATGGCGATACAAACACTGTCCCGTGATGCTACTCATCCAATGAAGCCTCCTACAAAGGCTCCGTGCAAACATTTCAAACACTTTTTATTAATTAGAAAAATTTGTATACTAATATAAAGGATTTTTCAGAATTATTGCTCACAAGTATCTTGCTCTTGTTCTGAAACGGATTTTACAATATTGTTAATTTTGGATTATTTATGATATATCTTCAAAACTGGAATTCGTTTGTTGTTTGTCTAACGCTGTAATGCGCTTGGCATAAGAAGGTAATGCTCTTGGGCATAAGCAGAAATAGAGTTGGGGCGATTATCTTTCTTCGCAAACACAGTTGGTTAAGGAACAAATATTTCTCTCCTAGTCATAATTGGGGAATTGTCCCTGTCCAGGTATTCGACCTGGATATGGATTGGAATATGGAAACATCCAGGTCGTTTGTAGTTTGTTCTAATGCTGTAATGTTCTTGTGTTAGTGGGCATGAGATGAAGAAGAGTTGTGGCGATTATCTTTCTCCGCAAACACAGTCGGTTGAGGAACAGATATTTCTCTCCTGGTAATAAGTGGGGAATTGACCATGTCCAGGTATGATTTGATTTCAAACGGGGTTATTGAGACATCTTTTCCAGTTTACGTCGTTTGATTAGTTCATATGTCCTCCTGCCTAGGTGAGAATTCCATTCGTTCTACGAGATTTGATTCACTTCTGTGCTTCATTTTTAGGTATGACTTAGGCCATTTTAAGTTCATATTTTCGGAATCGAGAGTAGCAGCTGCATCTTTAGCAAGAGAGGTCGGCGTCATCATTTCATTTCGTTTCTTGCGTGTGCTTCCGAAATTTTAATTTGGCTAAGTCTTTGAGAAGATGAGAATTTTTGTGCTACTGGAGAAAGGTGTCTAAAGTTCGCTACTGCATGTATTGAAGAAAGAGAATTTGACTGAATTGCGATCAGATGCATTTGCTAGTACTAATAGAAATTTCTATTGCAGTTTCAATTGCTAAAATTTAGGCTAGAAAAACCTATAACTGTATTTTTTAGACAAAGGCGTCTTTTTCAGGTATTTTTAATTCAATAAGAGAATTATGATCTAAAGAAGTCAATATGATAGTCGAACGCTGAAGAAGCAAGAAACGTCAGTGCAAAGCTAGTCTGAATGTCGCCATGCTCCAAGTTAGAGCAGCGATTTATGATGAATTTTTCGAGTAGTAAAAGCAAAGTGTAGTATGTTCGAGTAGTGAAAGTATGTGTAAGTAATTGAAATATATTTCAGGATGAAAGTGTGGTACAACGATACGTGTGTATATCCGCAGTAAATGTGCGAGTGGTGTAGAAAGATTACAAGTGGGATCGCTTCTGTGGAGGACGCTCCACAACCGGGCTAAGCACACCCGTACTGACGAACAAAAACATAGCGCAATAAACGAGTTTGTGAAGGAAAATATGTGTATTATAGAGAAGGAAATAGCCAACAGTTTGAATATAAGCGTTCGTGCTGCGATTCAATAAAATAGGGACGAAATGGATGCCTAATCAGTTGACTGCTGAATCGACAGACCATCGCTTAACCTATGAAGAACTTTTACATTGTTTCCAGACCCAAAGCGTTGGATTTCCCGAAAGAATTGTTACAGGAAAGATGAAACCTGGGTGCATTATCACCAATTTGTGAAAGAATCGCATGTTTTAATACATATATGTGTGTTTAATGTTAAGCTCTTCAGCCAACACTTTAAAGTACATTTAAGATTTTGCTTAGTACATTAGAAAAGTGTTGGCGTGTAGGGAGTCTTGTGAGGTCTAGTATGTCACATTTAACAATGTTAGATGTTGTGTAGCGGTAGTTGTGTTCGAGGTAACAGAACATAAGTAGCCTAAGTACATTTCAGAAAAATTTATGGATAGCTCGGGAGAAACAGAAGTTTAAGTATGAATGAAAGTGTATGAGGGCCAAGTGAGGAAATAAAGGAGTAATTGTAAGGAAGACGGAAATCTTTGTAAAATCCAGTACTAATGTTGTTTCCTTCCAGATATGGAAGGACCAAGAGTAAAAGCAGCATAATAACTTATGGATTAAAAGAAGAAGTTGATGTTTGTCGAGAAACAGATGAAAATTGTAAAATTTTGTAAAATTTTATAGTTTAATCTAGCTTTATATTTGCTGTAAAGTTGGTCCCAAGAACAGAAGTTTAAAGTGAATCTGGTTAATGAAAGACTTAGAAGTGTATAGTTTAACGTTAGAAAGTTTTTAGACTTTAAAGTCTTAAACAAGGTAGTTTAAAGACCGTTTGGCTTTCGACTATTTAAAGTCTGGTCGGGAGTTATGTAAGGATTATGTTAATTTCATTAACAGTTAACTTTTGAGTTAAACTTCCTTTCCTATCACTTCTTAATTTCAACTTACCACATCCTTTCCTATCACTTCTTAATTTCAACTTACCACTTTCGGCCAGAACGTAGTTTTAGAATCACGTCGGAATGCTAATGAGCAAGAGCGGTATTTAACCGCGAAGTTCTACTGTCTTAGTGAGAGAGATTTCAGATATTCTGGCTACCTTCTTAGGCTACCCTCTCGTAAGCTATTATTACGCTCGTGGTATTTTAGCCCTTGATAGCTTCGCAGTCAATTAACATTAAGGGGCCAACTCGGTTAGAATAGATAGCTTCGGCTGTATCTCTTTAGTTAAGATTAGTTTAATTTGATTCTTAGTATCTTAAGTTTAAGCCCAAGTGTCGGCTTTATTGTACAACTCCAAGACGGAGTTCTGTTAAATATTATTTGAATAATAAAGGGTCTTGTAACCCTTTCGAAGTTAACTTTTTGTCTCACGAACTCAAGCGATTATTCGCTTACTAGTTTTTAAGATTCTTCACTTTTAACTGTAACTTAAAATTACACAGTAGAGAATCCTACAACCGCACCACATAAAACACTAAATGACTCGAAAGAGGAGTTCATCTCTAAACTCATCTCGGAAGAGGAGTTCATCTCTGAACTCACACAATAAAATATTTACGTTGTCAAGTGAATCAAGATGCGCAACAAAAGTTCTATGATTGATACAAAGCACGGTATCCTGACCTTCAGAACTCCTGTTTTAATAAAGAATATAAATGGTGGGTATTTGTGGTACCTTGTAATGTCATATATTACAAACTAACTGCGATGTTGCCAATGCCAGAGTTCGGACCATTTGAATATATTCTATCGTGGATACCCTGTATGTACTCTATGCTCGGTAGGGGTCAATGATAAGGAAAAGGTGACAGGATGTTTCTAGATTCTGTCCCAATTGTAAATATGAGAATCAAAATCAAATCGTCAAAGTAACTCACAAAAGTTCTTATGCAGAAGCTGAATGAATAATAGTAGAATTCAGTCGCAACAGAATCAATTCTAAGTCATTAAAAATACTAAATAAATATTTCTCAAATAGACATTTTTATATAGAAAGAAGCATCTCCTGGACACATATGACAAAATCTTTCCTCGAATGGAAAAAAAGAAACAAAAATTACTAAAACAGTACGGAACAAAATAAGAAAAAAATCTAGCAGAAACACCAAGAAATTAGATTGTCAGTGTACTCAAACATCAGTTCGAAAGGTACAGATTCAGCGATAGGACGGACTGAAATTCCTGATGCATTTCCATTCATCTCTAACAAAAATGCAGCACATATGAATTAATTAGTCAAACCGGCTCCTATAATCTCTTGGATGTATTGTCACGGTTTCAACTAATGTCTTGTTCACATAAAAGACTTAATCAAAGTGCACCGTTATCTGCTTTGCAACTCAGGAAATGCCAATGAAATCTCAACAAAAACTAAAATTCAGAGTTTTATAGGGGAAAAGATAAGCTCTGAAGTGAGTGTGTTAATGATGCGAGGTCTCCTTACCTCACTTGGCTGTCCTTCAAAAGTTTTTCCTCTTTCAACCTTTCTTATATGAATCTGTACATATACGGATACGAAAGCTGATTTCAGTCCATTTCATACATTTGATTTCTAACTAACACATTAAGCAGCAGAATTTACTTAGTTTAATAGATGAACTGTCTGTTCTCCTTATATTTATGGATGCTTTCAGGCCACAGTCCTCTTTAGATAAGTAAAGATGAAAACTCACACAATAATCAAATCGACCGAATGATAAATGAGCATTATCTTTGCCTCTTTAATAACGGAAGGCCAACTTTACTTCTACCAACCTAGAACTGCATTTCACAAAATAAATTTCAACATCTGTTCATCTTTTCTGCTTCCACTTTGCAAATGAAGTTCGAAATGAGTTGAATAACAGCTATCTTCCGATTTTTGTTACTTTTGCAGATAAGGTGACAGTGTGACAGTTCCCATTTGTGGACTTCTCCGTCCCATACTGGATAAAGCAGATTGGAAGCTTTCCTTCTTCTACACACAATTTTCTCCTTTCTCTTTTTCTTCTCAAAACTGAATGAAGAAATGGTGAACAATATGCTTTCATAAAATACAGTGTAAATTTTAACCTAGGTTATTATTCAGGCAGTTAGTCATTTTCATCAACAAGATTACAAGAAGTATCTTAAACCGTGGTGGGAAAGACAGTGCCAAGTCTATAAAAGAAAGCTTATATGTTGGAGGAGAGATTTCTGTTATCCACCTTTGTCTTGTTTTATAACTTTAAATGCACGAAATATACTACTTTAGAGTCAGAGGCACTCATAGATATCCTATGCGTTAAACTATTTTTGTGTCTACCCCAGACAAAACGACGATAGGAAATCGTAAGGAAAGCAACTGGAATGTATAAAAATCACTCCCTTCTATTTTGGAAAAAAATGCTGAATGATTAGCATCACAGAAAAGACTGTAAATAAAATAGATGAGAATTTTGCTTGAGCTACTGCTCTTCTTAGAAAGTTCCTATCGTGTTCAAATATCCCATTTCGGAGCCTAATAATTGGGATTTTGCATATCTGAATTATAAATAAATCAATGAAAAATAAATAGCTCTTGATCAAATATTGAAGCAATTAGCTATGATATGATAAGGCATTTTTCCTTAAGTCGCTAAATGACTTTCTTACCCTTTTCATTAAAGTGTGGAAAGAAAATGCTTTTTCCAGTACTTGGAAGAAAGCAAACATTGTTCCAAATCTCTAAGCCCGGCAGAGACCCATAAGCTACCTCAAACTGCCGGCCAATCGCACTTACGAATTGCATTTGTAAACTATTTGAAAAAACTGGTAAATTACCGCCTGTATCGCGTGTATATAATATTGAGAAAAATAGTTTAATGTTTGCATATCAGAGTGGTTTTTGCAAGGGTAAACAATTTTAAGTAACATGCTTCTTTTAGAATTCTTCGCGAAATAAAATCATTTACTTTCCCTAACTTTGATATGGATAAAGCGTTAGACAAAACCTGCTCATGTAGCATTATACGAGATTTTCATAATAATGGCTTCCTCGAAAGATGCTTCCTCTCAAGTTTATTCAGATTGTTTTGAAAGCTAGAACTTTATAAGTGAGGATTGGTTCTACTTTGTCAAGTTTTCTTTCAAAAACGTGTGCTTCAAGAAGTATTCTAAATGAAATTCTATATGGCCTAAAAATAAAATCTGTTTTAAAGTAATCACTTCTGCTGTTTTAGGTACGCTGTGTGTTGATGAACTGATGCTGACGAAGCTGTCAAGGTTTGGATATTTCAAGTATGTGCCCAAAGTATACATTTCAATTTTACGTCAATGAGCCACCCAGACTGTACAGTAGTTAGGGAAACCGGCTGCGATACCAAAGGGCCCGGGTTCGAGTCCCGAAAAAGGCACGGTTGTAACTATCCGTCTCATTTCGTAGGAAGTAAAGCTGGCCCACTTAAGAGGCTCCATAATAAAGTGACCACCCCTTCTGGCCTTAGTAGTGGCCAAGCCGAAGACGGCTGAAGGCCTTGCTTAAAGATTTGGGCATATTTTGGCGTTCTAAAAGCACCTAATCTCTTTACATGCTATTGAATGCCAACAGGCTAGATTTCGTCATTCCCACGTGCAGTTTCATTAAATTGCCTTCAGAACTAAAAAATTATGTTCGGGGGCATTTTCAAGTCTTCGATGCAATTGAATTTAAGTGAACGTCTGACTTCTAGCATGGTTTCGGTAAGTTCAGTAGATTCAGATCAGTAGATTTAGGTTGCTCGACCCGGCTAATATTTAAAGTTTCGAGTAAGAGCACTAGTATCGTAACAAACTAATTTGTTGTATATTCCAACTAGTAGCTCTAAATCAAGAAAAATTAAATTTTGTGTTTTATTATTTTGAATTAACTCGCTAGTAGGGAGAAAATAAATATTAAAACTTACGTATCATCCCGTCGACCGCTGGCGGAAATTTCAGCAACGGTCCCCGATCGTTACTGCGGACTGCTAATTGTTTTGATTACTAAAGGACATGGTCATCCATAATTGGCGCTGAATCGTGCTACTTTCCCGGTCGACTGAATAATACTTAAGTACCCTAATATTTGTGCATGTCTTGTTTTCACAACCAGTTTAAATGAAAATCAATAACTTGCTATCACAATCAAGGTAACTTTTAGGGATGACTGGTTGGTAAAAGTAATTAATTAGCTAGAAAGCCACCCTACAGCTATCATAGCTCAACATAATTTTATAAATGCCTTCCAAGTTATAAATCACTCTAAATAAAAATATTACCATAAATTTCTGTCAACAGATTAAAGTATTTATCCCTAATGAAAATACATTTCCTAAAATGAAATACATAAATTTCATTGCAGGTCAGAACTAACGGGGAAACGTTTGGAATCAGTTTTCACGATAGATAACCTGAATGTTCAACTTGAAGTCAATAATTTATTATGAAAGTAAAAATTACATTCAAATTGTTAATAAATAAGTTTTTTATCGGTAAACCATTCATTCAAATAATTGCACTTTATAAATTATTTTGAATTTTGCCAGTAAAGGGTGTGTGAAAACCATTCTGCTTTAAAAGTACAGACACATAAGCACAAAGAGAAAGAAAAAATTTTCTACCTCTGATGTAAGCAAACAGCAATTAAATGCTCGATGTAGTGATATTTTCGTCATAATTCCAACAATAATTTCTCTCATTAAATAAATTTTATATAACCATTATATCATCCAATTATATCGTTATAATAACAGGACATTAGTTCTCCACTTTCAAACGCATGTCCCGCTCCATTCGTTTATTGCCATGAACAAAGTGCTCAAGATTTCTTTTAGACAAAATAATTTTCCCGGACGAGAGAAAGAAAGCGTTGAAAGACAAGCATTGTTTCAGATTAAGGGGTAGAAAACAACTTCTAAATAGTATAATGAACATTTTACTTCCTTCTTCAAACCAAAAGTCTACTTTTCTTTTTACATTCCGCTTTGATGTCAAATTGTACCATTATAGTTTTTAAGTAAATCCCTAAATCGCCAAATAATTGCGTTAATTCGTTTAGAATGAGGTATGCATATTTTGTTTTATTCATTAAATGTGTTTAACTGGTTAAAACTCGTAGAATAGCTCTTGAAGAGTTGCCTGAAGGTAAACAAATACGCCGTGACGAACAGGTGTTTGTGTAAATGGTTTATTAAATAAAATAACGGTGTCGTACCTGGAGACACCTTAGAAATTTTCATTATTTAAATCGAATTCTACGGCGCAGAGTCATAAAAGTTAATTCAACCGTTTGGATTACTACGATACAGAACTCAGCTGAGTTTTATTGTTTGTTCAAGTGATTTAGTTGAAAACATGTTATCGAAGGTAAGTGATAGTTCTAAATCGTAATAAAATCAAGGCATTTCAAATCAAAATTTCCAAGTTCGTCGTTATAATTTTTATTTACAGCGTTAAAGAGACTATGCAGATGCTCAAGAATTTTCAAATTATTATGTTGGTTCAAGTGATTATCGCAAATCGTTTTAGACAAGTGTCGAAAGAGATAATACATATCATCAATGCATAGTATTAGAAAATTTTATAATAAAAGCTTTCTCGACAGTAAAACAATAAATTTCTTTATCAGGGCATAACTATTCATCGGAGTATAGAGGAAACATTACATTAGTTTTTCAGTTACAAAGTATACGCTGGTATTCCATGCTAATTCTCCAGGACTACAGAACAGATGAAAATTCCAAAATCTTTAAAATGCGGAGCTGTATTTTAACTTGCTATTCATTTTGATGCTCAAAAATCGTAAATAATTTTTTCATAGCTCACGAATGCATACCTCAGGATTATTTTACATTAATATCACAATTCATTATTTTAAATAACTTTTAAATAATGAACGAAAGCTAAAGTAATAAAAAAGTGAAATAATAAATATTTTTTGTTTGATGTCCAATAACTAATAATGCAACACTTTTAAGTATTCAGTATTATTTTGAAAATAATAGTTTAATTCATTACAGTGGAATAATAATAATATTATCATTAAAATATATTTACACAGCTTATTATAGATGAGGCCACATATTATTGAGAATTTTAGCGTTAGAATTAAATAAATGAATAATTTTTATTTATGCAGTATTTGGTATTAAATATTAAGTTGATTGGCCCAAACGTACAATTTTCCCCATCAGAATTTATATTCTTTGAAGAAATGATCACCCTCTCCGTTTTATTCTTCTCTAAGTAAAGTTTAATAAGCGATAAATTCAGAATATAAGTATAACAATATACTCAAAATTGAATTGCCTGAAAATAAAACTCATTAAATCTTAGAAGGAATCCGAATCTAATGCCAGGCCAGACAGCAACATAAACAACAGGGCGAAGATCAGAATCTAACAAGTTCCGTCTGTTTCTTTCATTACTTAGGCATTCGATTTCTTGCTCTAAAACCACACAGTGAGACACACTTCAGTCAACATTACAAGTACAATGATAAATGGCCTAGCAGGAATTCCTATGTTATTGTCTAATTTATCAGGTACCTAATGAAAAGTAAATCTGAAATGCTTGAAAATTAATATTAAACTTATTGGTACGTTTACTTAACCAGTTGAAGATAGATGCAGATAAATTATAGTAAGATGTATTCAAATGCAAGTGGACAACTAGAACGTAAAACATAAAATAATCCAAATTTTAACACGAATCTACTAACATAAAATACACAAAAATGCTTGAAATCTGCTATCAATTTTTATGTTTATTTACGTTCGTTTCACAGAATTTGAAAAATAAAGCGCAAACTTTCTTTTAATTAAGAGAAAAATAACATTTTTCAAATGACGATCATAGGAGCTTCACAAGCATACGCTTTCTTTAGATGAAACTCCTAATGAAATCTGAAATTACTGATGAAAATACAAATTTAGAGAATTTTTCGTGACTTATTTTAAAGTATGATATATCAATGCCTGAATTTGGATACCAATATTTAATAACATTATTGCAAATATTTTTCGCTTCGAATTTATATTGTCCGTTCAGCCTTTCTGCTTTATTGGATATTACCCGTTTCTAGTAATATGGATTAAAAATTATATAGATATAAAATTGTGATCAATAACTTTATATAATTATTAGAATGCTATATAAATATAAATTATATTCTCTGCTCCCTCTCCGAATATAAGCAGAGTAAATCTGTCGTACACATCACTCTGTTATCTCTAGAATTATCTCTAGAAATACTGCTTAGAATATAAACATTGGTATTGTAATCATCCCTCAAAAATGACATCTTCCACACAAGAAGAAAATCATTTGGAGCAGCTGGTTGTATTTTTGCTGAGGTTTCATTACACCTGAAAGAAATTTGATAGTTTGCTGAATTTTTCTAAAAGGAAATACTGCTTAGAATATAAACATTGGTATTGTAATCTTCCCTCAAAAATGACATCTTCCACACAAGAAGAAAATCATTTGGAGCAGCTGGTTGTATTTTTGCTGAGGTTTCATTACACCTGAAAGAAATTTGATAGTTTGCTGAATGTAATCTTCCCTCAAAAATGACATCTTCCACACAAGAAGAAAATCATTTGGAGCAGCTGGTTGTATTTTTGCTGAGGTTTCATTACACCTGAAAGAAATTTGATAGTTTGCTGAATTTTTCTAAAAGGAAATACTGCTTAGAATATAAACATTGGTATTGTAATCTTCCCTCAAAAATGACATCTTCCACACAAGAAGAAAATCATTTGGAGCAGCTGGTTGTATTTTTGCCGAGATTTCATTACACCTGAAAGAAATTTGATAGTTTGCTGAATTTTTCTGAAAGTAAAACTGAAAGTTACAATAATCGTTTTTTTTTCTCTATTTTTCTTCCTTATATATATATATATATATATATTATATGAATTACTATTACCATACTTAATTTTAGTTCTTTTTATTATTCTTAATACTTGGTATTTGCCCTTTTCTATTATTCTTAAGAATGTATGAGAGTACGAATACATGCAGAGGAAACTGTGGACTCATTTGGCACTCAATGTAATATTAATTATTATTACGGAAATTAGTTCAAAACGGTTTTAAGTCTTAGATGATCCAGAGGAAGGAAACATGTATTTGGAAGTCGTTAATCGCTCAGTTAAACATTGTAAAAAAAATGTTGACAAAAGAAAACCATAAAATTAATCTCTCTTGTTTACTGCTTCAAACAGAACTTGTCAAGGGACTAGTTAAGTTTAAAACACTCGTCCCTTGACAAGTTCTGTTTGAAGCAGTAAACAAGAGAGATTAATTTTATGGTTTTCTTCTGTCAACATTTTTTTGCAATGTTTCATGTGTACTTTTCACTGCTGCTTTGATGAATTTTCATATTAATTTTAATACACCTTTAAGTGGTTTCGGTTCATGTTTACCGTACAATATGCTTACTAATAATTACTTCAGTATACCTTTTCCTTAGATAGGATAATAAGGTTTGCCACTAGAGTTGTCAGATTATCAAAAATCCATTCTTAAGCTACATGAAAGAGTTACTTCTTTATAAGAGTACATAATAAATAATGTTAGAAGCATTAGAAGCAGCGTTTATAAATTAATAATGGTATAAATCTTAATAATCATCAGTTTCACAAATTGCGAGTTAAATAAATTAGAAGTGTTAAAGATAAGAAATTATATAAGAAGTATGTTTGTTGGTTTTAAATGAAGCATAGATAAATCTAACATTTCTAAGAATTGATAACTTATAAGGGCGCGTCGACGTTCAGTTAAAGATTGCAGAATTGCAAATTCGTAAAGTCACGTGGTCTTTCATAGTTGAATTAGGCCGCCATGAAAGTTAGCTATTTCTCGATTATTCTCACATTTAAGATTTATTTCATAGATAAACAGGCAAATGAAATTTAGCATGGAAGTATGATACATGATGACACGTCTAAATCTCCAACAAATTATTCACAGCCACTGAAAAGATAAAGAGAATATATATTTTTTTTTACTTTTGTGTGATTTTAGAATAAATAAATTTTCAAAATTCCATCCAGATAGTAGCCTCACCCTTTATTATGAAACCCAATGATAAAAATTACCCTTACTCATGACCGCATTATTGCTTTTCAGATATGGATTGTATGCGCTTTGCTGTCGATAGCTTTTGCAAGTTATTACGAAGAACACAATGAGGTAAGTTCCGCTCCGTTTCCACAGTTCAATGATAAAATGTGTTAAATAATAACATAAATGTGCTACATAAAAGAATAAGTTTACGCAACATAGATGAACGAATTTATGACGAAAACTGAAAATTGAAACTACAAAATGCCACAAAGTAAGGACTCGATAGTTTGGTAATTATTTTCCCTTTCGTTTAAAATGAAAGCTACTTTTTTCCCCGAATGTGAACTTATTTTCTAAAATTCATTATTAAATGAAATGTAGCTCGAATTTTTTTTAATTGAAGAAAGTTTAAAAGCACATGATATTCTCCGCTATTCAAATAATGCAATAAGAAAATGAATTACTCCACTTTCCCAGTTTATGTCAGATTTTTTCTTATATTTGTTATCTAATGGCGAGAATTTCTCGAAACTAGAACATATTTAAGCAATAGGCATACAAAATAAACTCACAGGAATTCATCTTACAGTATTTTATATTGAAATTTTGTGAAATATTTTAAGATTAATTTTAAACAAATTATAGTAGTTTAATTTATTTTGAACCTTTTTTAGTTAAAAAACATTTTCCCGTATTCAAGTAATTTCTATGCAAATTGCGTGACTTAGAATTTCTCAAAATGTATTGCTTTTGTCCGTTTGGGAAATCCTCGTGGTAAAATAAAAATATTTTTCAACTAATATAAAACACTTGAAACTTTCAAGTCCTCAACAAGAAAACATTTTCTGTTGTGGATTATTTTTAACTTAAAGAAGCTTAAGGAAGGCAACCGAGTCAAGTTCTTTCAGATATCAGAGCATTTCTTTGAATTTAACTCCGGTCTCATAGCACACTTGTAGAGAAATTAGGTATTGTTTTAAAGCAGGAAAGATGAAAAATGAGCAACGCCCTGGCCGGGAACCGAACCACGGACCTCTGGAATATGCGCCCAGCGTGCACACCACCAAGGCACGTTAAGAAGGCGGGAGAAATACCTTATATACTCCTCCTTTTAAAGGGCGACTGCGGTTTAGGAGACTCAATCGCCAAATCCTGGGTGTGGAGAATCATCATTCACCACCCTTTTAGTTGGGGCGCCACTTGTACAGACATTAGGTTATTTCGAAGCAGGAGTGATGAAAAATGAGCAACGGCTTCCCCGGGAATCGAACCACAGACCTCTGAAATACGCCGCCAGCGTACAGATCACTACACCACGAAGGCAACTAATATTCCATAGAGGAATATTAATAATATTCCAAGTAATAATATTCCATAGAGGATATTATTCCTTGGATAATATTATGGAAGGATATAAAACTCCTTTTTAAATTCAAAAGAGCTTGTTTCAGTTCAGTTACGAAACAGTGTTTTTAATCTTGTAAGGATTATGTTAATTTCTTTAACAGTTAAATTATGAGTTAAAGTTCCTTTCCTGTCTTCCTGAATTTCAACTTACAACTTCCGGCCAGAACGTAGTTTTAGAAACGCGTTTTGATGCAAATCGGGGAGAAGTATTTAGAGCGAAGTTCTACTGTCTTCGTCAGAGAGAACCAGTGATTCTGGCTAGCACTCTCTTTTAAGCTATTATTACGCTTGGCCGTACTTTAGGCCCTTGGTAACTTCGCCGTTATTCAGCTTTAAGGGGCAACTCGGTTACAATCTTGATTGCTTCGGCTATACCTTTTAGTTAAGATTAGTTAAATTTAGTTCTTAGTTTCCTAAGTTCAAATCCGAGTAGCGGCTTTTTTTTAAAACTCCAAGACGGAGTTTTGTTAAACTTTATTGGAATAATAAAGGGTAGTTTCACCCTTCTTACGGGTTGTCTCTATATCACGAACTTAAGCGATTAGTCGCTTACCAGCTCTTAATATTCTTCAATTTAAAAGTACACAATACAGAATCTTACAATCTAAATAAGATACAGTTCTTTGCTTTCAAAAATGAAAATTTTAGTTCAGTTTGGATTTTGTTAAGCAAGTAAGCTAATTTAAGAAAACTCATATTTTTAGATTGTGAGACCAGATTTGTACATATATTGCATTTATTGTTTTTTAAGTTTGTATTTTATATTTCCAGAAAAAAATCACCTTATGCTACATTTTAAAATTGCATGTCTATTTAATATATTCCATAACTCACGAAAAGAAGCATCAATTACAATCATGCATCCCTTTTTATTCTGAAACAAAAGGCTGTAACGCCTCTCAGGTCACATTGCTTAACTTTGAAGTTTCATTCAGTAACACTGTGAACTCACACCATGTAACCTTATAATTTAGCACAATATAGTAGACTTACCTAGCTACTTGTCAATGAATTATGTACATGCTCCCTTGTAGTGAAACACAACAATTTACGCATTTTATTATGTAATATAATCGAAGTATACTCATATTGTTCGTCCATGACTGATTTCTTATAAGAATTTAAAGTGACAACTGGATCCATTTTCAGGAGAAACAGTCATCCTTAATCATGCGGTATCATGTGTGGATGTGAAAGCAGTGATCATGTGTGAATGTGAAAACTTACTATCTATTTACTAGTTAAGACATTTTTCATTAAATAAGAATGTCTCATTAAAAGAAGAAGTAGAAAATTTTAAAGTTATATTTAAAAAAAAAGAGAATAAGGTAAAAAATAGAATAAGCTGCATGCTGAAGTTATATATGAAGAAGCCACGAGGACAAGAAGAAGATGAAATTAATGAAAAGGGAAATGAGAATTTAAGAAGAAATAATTCATAACGATGAATTTCATATTTGTCCTATATATGAAGAATGAAGGGAACATAATGGAAGCTACAGGAAGAAAAGAAGCAGCTGCTGAGTAGAAGTTTAAAGAATTCAGATATAGATGAAGAAATTTTATAGCATAAGGAAAACTAAAGATTTAGGGAAAAAGGGGTAGAATTCAAGAGGATATAGCTTATAATGAAGGACTACTTAATTGTTTATGGAAAGGCAGAAGAAGGAGGCTTCAAAGAAAAAAGATATAGACGGAAAAGGTATTAAATTACAAATAAAGGTTTTAAAAAAGAAAAAGGAAAATATTCTGTAGAAGATGGAAAGAATATGTTAACAAGTAATTCATAAAGATGGATTTCTTATTCACTATATTAAGTAAAAAAGATGGAGGAATCATTTGGGTTTAAATCCTCCCGCCTCTTCTACTGAAATTTGTTTTTAAAGTATTACTTGATACTTTTACGTTTTGCCGGCGCAGGCGATAAACTCGCCAATAATGGTACAACTGATGCCTAACAAAATATCCTCGATGGTAACCTTTAACGCCTCATTTTCAAAACAAGTCGCAGCCATTTCTTACCAGATTCATTGTTTCTTTTAATATTGGCACACAGTTACGTAGAATTTTTACCAATAGTTAATTTATGTCTAAGGCATTCGCGTAATAGTCAATTAGGATGCAAACCACCGCTCACGTACGCGAAAATATAGAAAGACAAAGAAAGGTTAAATCATCAATTCTAATTGAGATGCCCTAGCGAAGTAAAGCATTGCGGTTTTACATAATTTCTGAGTAGCTATTCGTACGAATTGAAATATTCTTGCATTCAAATTAGATAACTGAAATAATGTAGATAATACTAAGAGAAGAGAATAGCGTAGGCGTGGAGTGGGGAGTACGTGATATGAAAGGCGAAGAAGGCTGCTGAATCATGAAAGCATAGTAAACCTTAAATAAGTCTTTTTACAAATTTATTGTCTTTATTTATTGACTTTTTTAGAAAATTTTAAAGGATATTAAAATGTTTATGCCTTCAAAATACAAATTTTTAGAACTAAAATTTTTTTTATGTGTATACTGTATGTTGTCGTCAATAAAGTCTGCTTGGCGAGATTTGCGGCGGCGAAACGGAAAAATACCTATTACTTTTTTATTCTCATATTTTATTTCAATAAAGATGATGCATTTTAGAAAACAAAATAAAATGCTTTTCTTTTCTCAAACAAAACATTTTGATAAAATTAAACAATTGAATTATTTGTCTAAGCAAGTAGCTGATATTTATTTACACTAAAATAAAATACTGGACTAGTATTTTATTTACATTCCGCTAAAAACTAAACTACATAAATCCCTGACTAAAATCATAAAATAAATCCCTGACTAAAATGTTTCTTATTTATTAAACGACTTAAAATTAAACAACGGAATTTTTATTAGAGCAAAACAAAAAGTATTTCAGTACGACTAAAATAAATGAAGATATTGTAATTGATTGAGGATCTTAAATTAGAAAAAATATGAATAATAACAACGTGGCGAATACTCTTAAAATTATAATCTTTTAAGTTATTTCCATCGTCATTTATAAGGCGACATACTTGCTAACCATTGTACACCAATTTATATGTCCCTCATGAATGTTTTTAAGATATGCTGGGCCTTTTATGCTGCTTAAATCAATGCCAAAACTTAAAAAACAATGAAGTACAAACTTCAGAATACAGTCTAGCATGTGGATAAAGAGTCTTTTCAAAAATTCAAAAGATTAAAATGTTTTCAAAAAATGAATCAGACAAACAATTCTCTAAGAGTTAAGTAATATGTACCATTAGATGCAGCTTTCACTAATTACAACAAAGCTTCAAATTTTCATAAAAATTATCGCTTAGGTATATTATAAATTAAATATATTTTAATTATATCAGTTAGATACATTATTAAAAATGAAAATACATTTTAAAATATTGAGTAACAACTGAATTTAAACTTTCCGTAAATCTGAACTTTCAGTGAGCCTGAAAGATAAGTTATTGGTCTTATGCTTTATTAAATGATAGCACTATTAATGCGCGACGGCGCATAAAAATAAGCTAGAGTTTATGTGTAATGCAATGGCAGTGCATAGTTTATAAATCGTCTTAAATGTTATAGATAAAATAAAGATCGTATGCTTTGAAGAATGGCAACATTTTGAGAATTAACTGTGCATGAGAGTGCATTAAAGAAAAATTAAAACTTTTACCTTTTGTGCACTGGTAGCACATTGCATAAAAATTTCTGCATTCGTCAACTAATAACAAACTGACTATTAAAAGATAGATTAAAGAGGATCTTATGCTTTACCGAAATTCAACACTCTGAAAACCAGCTATTTGAGAAAGAAAGGGGAAAATAGATTAAAAGGCTTACTTTTGGACGTTTTCAACACTAACCAAGGTTCATGGTGATAGTGATGCTTCTATTTATTTTCTTCCATCACTTTGGGAGATTTTATATTAAGTTACCCCAAAATAAAACTCATCGTTCGATGAACTCTTGAACAAATATAAAAGGAAAGAATACTTCATCATACTTTCGTTCGAATTAATGATTGCACATTTCTCTTTAAATAAACTTGCACGTATTAATTGCTAAGTTTTAAAGCAGCTACACTAGGTATCTTTCTTTTTTAGCTCCACGAGCCGAAACCATATCACTTTGGATATGAAGCCAAAGGAAAACATGGTTCTCACTACCATAAAGAGGCAGGAGATGGCCACGGTACCGTTCATGGAAGTTATGGCTACACTGATGAGAAGGGAGTCTACCGAGAAGTGATATATGTAGCTGACCATAAAGGTTTCAGAGCTGAGGTGAAAACCAACGAACCAGGAACGACAAATCAGAATCCTGCACATGTTCGACTTGACTCTTCGTCTCATCATGACTCAGACCAAGAATGGCAGGGATATCACCAAGAACAAAGTCGTATCGATTATGCTCATCAAAACCAGCAACAGCCCACAAATTATGCTCATTATTTTCAAAGGAGGGAAGGTGAGCATGGTGGACATGAGTGATCGAATTTCGCCTAATAATCATCGTCTTGTCATGTAAATGATTTGTAAATTTCGCTGTGATATACTATTTATAAGCAAATAAAATATTCAAATTTGAAAGTGTATGAGATGTTTTGAGTTTTTTCAGTTGTATCAAGAGTGTTCTTCCCTTTCCATGAAATGGAAAGGGAAGAACACTCTTGATACAACTAATGGATTTCAAAAAGGGATTTCTAAAAGGGATTTTCTCATCTTCCAAGGGGAAAGAAAGGAAAAGAAGAAAGAAATTGATACAATAATGGATTTCTAAAAGGGATTTCTAAAAGGGATCTTCCCTTTCCATGAAATGGAAAGGGAAGAACACTCTTGATACAACTAATGGATTTCTAAAAGGGATAAATGCACTGAAAGGAAATAAAATTATTCTTAAATTAATTCTCATAATATTCACATTATACACTTACTGCCTACTGCTATTAAAGATGGACGGCAGTGGATTGAACCTAAATTCTTAATGAACCTAAGAGTAGCAGGGTGTTACAAAGATTTTTTTAAATTCTAGATGTTTCCAAATCAAATTACTATTCTATATTTCTAAACTATTCTTTACTTTTTGGAGAGACAGTAATTCAAACAACTAAGTTAAGATTATAAATCCAACTACTGAATAAACACACGAATATAATGCAACAAAGCTTATCACATGCACAAATTTTCAAATTTGAAACATTATGAATAAAAAGCTGTAAGTTGAAGTCTTGCGCGTATAACTTGATTTTAAACTTACCTTTTTTTTCTTAGAAATACGTCCATTGCATAGCCGGCAACTACAAGCTAAAAGATAAAGAACACAGAATAGGTAACCATAATAAAGGACCGTGTTCAAGGATACTAAAGTTGCAGTTAATTGCATTACCAACACGTAAATCTCATTTATGTATTAATCAAATCTTTATTATTTAAGAACACGTCTGCACAGGGTAGATGTGGTAAACAAAAGGGGAATAAAGAGCAATCAGCTATTAGAAAAATAATAAAGCTTTACATACTAGTAATGCACAGCACTAGATTTCCGGCAGAATTGGCTGTTTTAATGACAATTAGCAAGATTACGCCCTGGTTGTTATATGACAAACCAGCTACCAAAAATGTATAAACTAGCATTTTGTAGCAAATTTTAGCATGTCCAACTAAGAAACAAATTTTAAAGAAAATGTTAACAATATTTTACTTATAAGAGACTTTTTCACAAGGCATACTCATATGCATTATTAAGAGAATTTTCAAATTATGTCCCTTTTTACGGAAAGTATTGAGCCAAAGGTACTAATTATGCAAGTATTCAGAGTCGCATATATAAGCGTACATGGTCATGTCTGCGGAGCAGTGATTGCGAATGGGATATAAAGGGTTTTGGGGGTAATTCTGTGCACGTACGCCTGTGCACGTACTCCTGTGCACGTTCACAACATTAACTGTGTTTCTTGCAAGAGTTGGATAAATTTTGTAATTTATAAGGTAAACTGAGTATGGATGCCACGAACGTATAGATGACGGAATGAGATGGAGAACTAACGGTAGACTGGAAACAGGCCAATCATAATCGCAGGTGGGCTTACACAGCTCGATGTAATGCCCAATCTCGTATGCAAGTTGTGGAAAGTTTTAGGATACTGGATCAGTATCGAGAAGATCTAGATAAGATCCACAACGACGACTGAGGAACATTATATGGCATTTTTAGAGTGACGATACAGGACTGCTACAGCTTCTCAGCTCTCGCTTGAGCTGATGCTGCCTCTGGAGTCCGCGTTTTATGGTCTACAGTTGCCACAAGGCTTCGTGAAATAGAGTTATATGTCAGAAGCTCAGATGTTGGCTTCCTGCGCACTAGAGCCGAAAAAGCATGTTTAGCATGGTGCAAACAACATGCGCCTTGGACCAGACTTCAGTAGAGCATCGTGCTTTAGTGTTGCTTTTTACAGATGAGTCGAGATTCAGGCTGACAACTAATTCTTATCGTATCTGTATCTGAAAAACGCCTGAAAATGATACTATGTCTCATTCATCAGGGAACAGGATCATTAAGGTGGTGGAAATGTAATGGTTTAGGAAGCATCCTGTTAGATGGCCGCACATCCATAAATGTGTTTGATAAAGGCTTCCTTACTGCTACGAGGTATATAGAGGAGACGTTAGAGCCCTATGTTCCACTTTGTAGAGCCGCAGTGGGTTTTGGACTCCTTTTACGATTCCTCTTGTACGACAACGCTCGTCTACATAGCGCTCATTTGGTAGGCGATTACCTTGAAATTTACAATATTTGGAGCATGGATTAGACCATCAGATCTCCTGACCTTAATCTTATAGAG